GATCTGGGGAACTTCTACCAGCCGAGCATGGTTTGATTTTGGAATCTTTAGTTGGCTTGGGAACTGTAAACATAACATGTGGCAAGCTTCCCATTTACAACACTCTAGGCACGGGACTGGCCCCCTGATTGCCCACGAGGGATAGAAAAAGCAGATGGCAGGTGAGTTGGCCCTCGTCACTCAGAAGAGCAGCGGCCACTGAACAAGGGCTCCACTTGACAGATTTGATTTAGCCTGCTGAGGAAGTTACCAGAAAACCCAGGAAGGACAAAGGGGCTGGACTGAACTGTTACTGAGGGTGCTTTCCAAACACATCCCTACTGTGTTCACTTTTTTTTTTTTTTTTTGATCACGTATGACAATGGTATATTCTTCAGTCTTCTGTGAGCCTTCACCACACAGTTCCAACTGTTTGATCATTTAGCCAAGGGTACCCCAAACAAGAACTCCATTGATATTGATTCTAAGCTGGATTTACTGCTCAAAAAGATTGCAGAGAAGCAAATCCATTCTAACAATGTGCCCACTCCTCTGTTTCATAAGAAATGTTGTATTTTCTTGAACATTACTGAACAAACTTGATACGTTTACTGCTCACATTTTTACTCCGAGTTAAATACTGAATTGTAACTGACACTATTTTAGGGCACTGAAGTGTCGGTCATTAGGTGGGGAGGGCACAAGAGATGCAAACTACCTCCTTTGGCTCTTTTCTTCATTTGTCATCAGGCTCACTGGTTGGCTATCTATGGTCAATACAAAAAAACAAGCACTTCCTCTCTAAAGGACTGAAAAAAGGTTTGAACTAAACAATGTGTCCTTTGTTCATACAATAGTCATTCTGATACCTGAGTGACATTTGGATGTCATGAACAGTTTGGCAATGTTCTGTTTAACAACGTGACCTCAATATTAGAAAGAAAATGGGGACACAAGGTTGCCCATATAATGACTGGTGTTGACAAATAAATTTCCCATTCTTTGTCAGCATTCATTACTATACCTAATATCTCAGGGCAACAGGTAAGAGCAATGCTTTCTCAGAAGTGTGGTCTCTTATATGAATTGTGTCTTCTAGGGCCACGCATGCAAGCTGCTTCATTCCTTACTAGGTCTTGGTTCATATGCCAATAAAATGTTGCCAGGGGTATACTGTCAGGCTTTAGGAAAGGAAAGAAATCTAATAAATTGCATGGGGGAAAAGCTCATACTGGGGGTAGAGGGAGGGTTTGGAATGGGTTCCAGGGAGGGCTTCATGGGCATGTGACCTGAGCAGCTGCACAGTGCTCGCAATGGGTCCTGCTTGGTTTAATACTCTGCTGTTGCTCTCTTGAAGTTCTTAATAATTTTATCTTTGATCTTGTGTCTTGCACTTGAAGTCTGATGAGGTAATGGAGCATGCATAGAGGAAATGTACATAACATGTGCTCTGCTGATTCCTTGTATATAAGTCTTAAGCAGAGCCCCAGGAACATATCTCTACTGTGGTAGAGCCATAATGCCTGGAAGGTCAGAGAGACTCAGAGAGAGCACAAGGGTAAGACTGAGTAGGTGGGGAAGCAGACTATCCTGAAAGGCCATACTCTACCTGAACCAGAACTTGCTTTGAGCACAGAAGGAAAGCAGCATTGTCCTAAGAAAGAAGAATAACCAAGAAATCCTATATATCCTTACTTGTGTTACTTCCCTGTGTTAGCCAACAACTCACTCTGAAAATGATGACAGCGAAGGAGAGGGAAAAACAGGGGACTCAGTTCCTTTTCCTGTCAGTCCTTTCTTACTCAGTAAACTGAAGTAAGAGTGCTGGTACAATACGTATGTATGAAGAATAAGATAAAAATAGATAAGTTAGTTTGTGTGGTGTTTTCACTGTTAAGAACAGAATATACCCATGTATGAGTTACAAAATATGAGCTGTGTCATTGTGGTGATTCCATATATGAGTTAAATGCTTTTTATTTGTCTATTAAACAACATAAGGACTGATAAAACTAATGCTAATAACCTAAATTTTTAGTATTTCTTGACTTAAAGTAACAGTAGTAAGCAAATAAAAAACATCATGACAAGTTGAGAGAAAAAGCACAAAAGAATGGAAAAAGCTTCATACTGTAGCATGTTTAAAGGCACTTTCCTTGCTTTTTGAACAACGGGTCCCATATTTTCATTCTCTTCTGGGACCCCTTGGTCCTAATCCTGGTTTTAGATGTGACCAAAGTATTACTGATCTTCTTAGCCCTTGGGGGGACCTACAGAGGCTTGACATAGTTGCCCCTGGCATTAAGCAGCCTTGATGCTGGGCTAATTTTAGAACTTTCAAGGTGGGCCATGAGGTGTCAGGGTTGGGGAAGCTTGGCTTCCTCAGGAATCACCCAGAAAACTACCTCTGCTGGAAGCTTGGTCTTGTGTCTGTCTGTACCCTGATGGGCCTGACCATGCATTAAATGCTAAAAAGCCCAACTTTTCCACTTGAGGACACTCGGACTCCTGTGCTTGCTATGGTGCTGGCGGCCTGGAATGCCGTCCCAACTTCCTGGGGAGAGCTTCCCTATCATCCCTCCAACCTCGGCCTAGCTGCTTTCTCTGCAGAGAGCCTCTTCCCTGGCCCTGTTCTACCCACACCCTCTATTTAGTTGCTTTATACAACGTTATTCGTTTGTGTATACTCTCTGAAGTATAGGGCAAAAACCCTGTTTGCCTTGCTCCCTTGTGTATCCCAAGCTCCTGGTGCTTGGTCCACACTGTTTGTTTGCTAAATGAGAATGCAAGAAGACATCTGTGATTAGGATGTGTTAGGTTATTCAGTGTTTTTCAAAATTCAGATCTAAGGCTTATCTCAAGGAAGCAACAAATTCCAGACATCAGCTGCTACACAATCATTTAAAAAGTGTAAAAATTAGTAATTAGTAATGTTCTAAAGAACAAAAATTAAAAAAAAAAAACAACCCCAAAACCCCACTCTTCCTTTTTCTTTTTTTGCCCTACTTTTGTCAACTTTTCTTCTTATTATACTTCTGGTTTCTGGCCTATATGAGCACTTTTACAGGTAGAAATTAAATAATAGAGTAGTTCAGTGATTGCAAAGTTTTCCCTACTGATTACATCTTTATAAAAATTATAGATAGTATTTTATTTCTTGTTTTAAGTAATTTATTTGAACAGCATGCACTGAATCTTCTCAAGGTATACGATAAAAGAAAAATACTTAAATTTTTATAATATCAACATGATAGGTTTTGTTACTTTCCCTTTCTTAATTTCTATACCAAGTTGAACTCTGAGATGTCAACCTGGTTACTTCATGAGTCCTGGAGAATACAGTATTTACTCACCCACATTAGCATCAGTAGCCCTGGCTGGCATCCACAGCAGCCCAATGTGGTTTGTGGAAAAGTTTTCAAGTGATGCTGAATCTTATCCTTTGAACTTGTAACAATATTGTTTTCCCTGAACCTGATTATTCTGGTGCTATATTCATTCTTATTTGAGAAAGCAGTGTCGAACAAAATAACAAAGCATGTGCTTTGTAATGAGAAGTTTGATAAGTGGGGAAGGTGACGTGACAGAAATCACAATGGACTTCTAGAAAGCAGAATTCTCTCATTTGCAGATGATTTTTCCTTGCCTTGGTCCAACATACTTGACTGATGAGTGTCCAGCTCATCCTCGTTGACATGCAAACTGACAAGCCAACTGCTGAATAGGTCTTTCTCATTTCTGCCAAGAACCTCTTTCAAGCATTTGTGAAATAAAACCCCCATGCTGAAGGCTGAATTGACACCAGCTCTAAGAGTAAGTCTAGAGTGCTGCGGATATCACTTCGAAGAATGCCATCTCCCAAACATGCACCACCGGCCTAGACAAAGTGCGAGGGAGCACGCAGAAGGGAATAATGCTGCCCTGGCCCCCAGGGAGGGACCAGATGGGACCTAATAGCTCTTTTCTACTACTAATTTCTATGATAATTCCAAGTTGCCACATGGCATATGTATTTTTTTTAATCTAAAGACAGAATATCAGTCAATGCAGTGACGAGGATTTTAATGAAAGGTATTTTTCATGAACTGCATCTATTCACACATGAGATTTCTCACCCACCCTCACCCCCACCCTTCAGCAACACAACCCCTATGGTTGGAGTGGAAGAAGTATAGAGAGAGGTCGAACACAACATGTTTATACTCATTGTCGATACTAATTAGAAACAAAGAGATTCCAAGTTTCATTAGGAGGTCAGACGCCTTTTGTAGTAATTCTATGAAGTCACCTTAATTTCTTTTTCTTATAGTCAGACATTGTGCCTGGACTTAAAGATTAAAGTGTGCCAACTGATGTCTGAGAAAAAAATTACAAAGGTGAAATTTCTTCTGGTTTTAGAGAGAGGATCAAGAGTTGGTGAAGATTTGGGAAAAATTACAAAAAGACTTTTAGCCATTCTCACTGACAAGTTCCAGTGCAACTTCACTGAGGATGCCTTTCCCTGTCCCCCCAGCCAGATGCAATTGACCCCTCCTCTGACCTCCTAGGAGTCCATTTGAACTTCAGGTGGCACTTGTCCCACTCTTCAATTGATTAGAATCATTTCATTTGCTATTGGTTTTGGGTAGGTACTCTGGGTGACCTCACTACAGTTTCCTCAGCATCCCACCTTCTATACTTCAGAATGCAACCCAAAGGGATAGGCAGCAGGGAACCCGACCTCAGGCAAAACACTGAGAAGGTATGAGCCTCTCTTGACGGTCACAGACCATCTTAGCTCAGACTTATTTGGCTACAGCATGAAAATAAAGTCTTTTGGAGTTTGCTGAAGCACAATATTATTATATTTAATATAAATTAACAGATGGTATAAAGATCACACGATGTTATTTTCAACACGCACTGAAAAAACATTCTCTCTTCCCTCCTCAACCCAGTGAATACTCACCTCTCGTGACAAACTGCTGGAAATCAGGATTCTGGCATGGTTAATAGCTTACATGCTCAAAGCAAAAAGATACAAGCTCTGGTAGAGTGGGATGAGGCACTTCACGGCCCTGCTGGCATTGATGCATGTGGCACATATAAGGCTTGGCAGCAGCTTTCCACTCACTATGGCTCCATCAAACAGAGGCCCAAAAAACGGAACCTGTTGATTCAAAACAGAAAAACATTTACTTTTCCAATACCAGTAAAAGTCAAACCAAAGACACGAGAACAACTGGTTGATGTGTCAGACCTGTCATAACCACCCAGACTGTCACCCACAGAAGTGATGCTAACCTTAGCAGGGTACGGGTCGGGGGCGTTCAAATCAAGCAACACAGGTCTGCTCCACAATACTCCTCTACTTTGAACTCTTCAGCAAAACTTCTCATGACAATTATCACTAGGTTATTCTTTATTTCCCTTGTGTTGCCACTTACAGAAAAAGCATTATTCTTTCTAGGTGCCTACATTGTGTGGATTATGCACAATATACAGCCATGTCTCACTGTGCACCTCCTAGTCTTGCATCCTCCTAGCCTTGCATCCTTCTAAAACCAGTTTGGAATTGGCAATGTTTCTGCATGGATCGTGATGTGTACTGCCTCTTAAAGGAGATGATGACTATCATGTTAACAGCTATAAGATCCTACTTGTAGTCCTCATCCTTGAATCCTCCTTCCTCTGCTTCTAAGATAACTGTGTTATCCTCATTTCTTTCTACTTCCTTTTTAGAGGCTTGGCTTTCCTTCACTGGACCCACTTTTACTACCGGAGCAAGCCACAAAGTTCTGGTGCCTGTCCTTTCTCACTCTCACTCTCACTTTTTTTTTCTCCATTAGAAATTCATTGACTCCATTTATTAATATGGAGAATATCAGCTCCATGAGGTCAAGGACTAGGTCTGCCTTGTAACCCCTGTATTTATTTACTCTCTCACTTGTTTATTCATTTATTCAAAAATATTTATTATGTGAAAGACATTGTTCTAGTCACTGGGGACACAACAGTGAATAATGAAATTCCTTATTTCATTGACCTTACAATTTATTGGAGGTGTGAGAGAATAAACAGTATAAATACATAAAATATATATTAGGTAGAAAAGCACTAAGGTGAAAAATAAAAGCAAGGAAGAGCAATAGGACTCTTTCTGAGGGGAGAAGTCCTCCAATTTTAGAACATATGGCCAGAGAGGGCTTCAAAGAGAAGATAACATTTCAGTAAAAACTTGACAGGAATGAGGGCATGAACCTCATATTATGAGGACATCTGATGGAAGAGCATTCCATGCCAAGGAACAGCAAATACCTAGCCCTGTGGTGGGAGTGTAACTGCTATGGTTAGGAAACAGCAAGCAAGCCAGAAAGGCTGGAGCTGAGTGAGCAAGAAAAAGAACAGAAGGCAATAAAGTTGGGAAAGCTAATAAGAAGGGCCTTAAAGGATTCTGGATTTCTGCTCTGAGCAAGAAAAAAGCCTTCTGGAGGGTTTAGGGAAGTGGGAGATCTGATCTCACCTACATTTCAAAGGTATGTTCTGGCTATTTTGTTGGGAAAATTGCAAAAAGCAAGCATTATGGAAACCAGTTAGGGAGTTGGTGAATGATCCAGGCAAGAGATGACGATGGCTTGGATCAGAATGGTGGCAGAAGTGGTGAGACTTGGTAGGTGTCTGGATATAGTCTGAAGGCAGACTGGATTTGCTGAGGATTACTAATGAAGTGACTGAGAAAAAGAAGCATTAAGGTTGATGCCATAGTTTATGCCCAGCAACTAGAAGTTTGGAGCCAGCGTTTCCTGAAGTGAAGACTAAAAGGGAGGGTCACTAGTTCAATTTTAAATATGCTAAGTGTGAGATGCCTATTAGATATCAGTCTTGATGTATGGGGGTGGCAAATCAGGTGACAGATCAGGCTGGAAGTCAAGGCAGACGCTCCTGTTGGAGATTCATAAGAGTTACTTACAGATGGTGTTTACAGCCATGAGACTGGATGATCAGATGAGCAAGAAAAGAGGTTCAAGGACTAATCTTGTGCTCCTCCAATGTTTATAGAGGTTGGAGACATGAGGAAGAATTACCAAAGAAGACTAAGGAGGAGTTGCTGGAGATGGTGGAGAGAAACCCCCAATGAGATGGTGGAGAGAAACCTCGACTGTACCTGGCACACAACTGGAAAGCAAATACTGGCTTAATGGGTGAAATTATTGTTATTTTAAATAATTTATTTAATAAATGCAGGTCTCCAGCAAGGTCTTTTAATTTGTGTAAAAGGCTATTTATTTGTGGAATATCTCTTCTGTGGTTGGCACTGGGAGAGGGGCTGGAGATACAATGGTAAACAGAAGACTGTCTCTGCTCAAAGGAGTGGATGTGAGGAACTGGCATAAGAGATCTATTAACTAACATCCCTCAACAAAGATGTAAAAATCTCTTACAAATTTTTGGCAAATTAAATCTAGCAATATATTTAAAAGATACTGTATCTTGATCAAAACATATTTTGCATAAAAAACTAAGGTTGGTCTAACAATCATAAATCCACTAGTGCAATTTATTACATTAATAAAATAAAGAAGAAAAACCATATGGCCTTCTTGATAGATACAGAAAAAACACACATAAAATTCCACTCTCATTCGTGATTAAAAAAAATTCCCAGCAAACTGGGAATAGAAGAGAACTTCCTCAATTTGATGAACTCTTTAAGGAAAAAAAATTGTAACATAATTAACGGTGAAATAATAAATGTTTTCCACCTAAGATATGAAAAGGCAAGGATGTCTATGTCACCTTTTCTATTCAACATATCCTAATCATTACAATAAAGAAAATAAAAGAAAGGAAGTAAAAAGAGAGGAACATAAAGATTAGAAACAAGTTATTTTTATTTACAGATAACATGATTATGTACATGAGAAATCCAAAGGAATTTAACTAGAACTGGATTTTGAAAGGTCACAGGATACAATATACACTCCAAATCAATTACACTTCTGAATGTAAGCTATCACCAAATGGAAAATGACATTTACAAATACTGTTCATAATAGCATCAAAAACATCAAGTGCCTAGGAATAAATTTGACAAAGGATACACACACACACACACACACACACAACCAAACATGACCGAGGTAAATTAGAGACAACCTAAGAAATGGAAAGATATACAATGTTCATGGATAGGAAGTTTCCAGACTGTTAAGATATCAATTCTCCTGAAATGGAACAACAGATTCAGCACAAACCAAATAAAAATTCTACCAAGCTGTTCTTATAGATAAGATCATTCTAAATTTATATTAAAATGAAAAAACTTAAGTTAGCCAAGGCAATAAGATTTATATTACTTAATTTCAAGGGATACTATAAAACTACAGTAATTAATATATCATAATGTTGGTACCAGGACAGACAAATATATCAACAGAACAGAGCATAGGGTCCAAGAATAGATCCAGGTGATTTGCAATAAAGCAGCATATCAGTTTGATAGGGAAAGGAAAGTTTCAAAAAAGGCTCTGAAACAAGCAGATAGCCATTTTTAAAAGTGAACCTTGGCCTCTATCTCATACCACACACAAAAAATTTAGGTGGATTATAGATCAAAATAGTGAAGCTAAGGGGTGCTGGGTGGCTCAGTTGGTTAAGCACGTGCCTTTGGCTCAGGTCATGATCCCAAGTTTCTGAGATAGAGCCCCACATCAGACTCCCTGCTCCACGGGGAGTCTACTTCTCCCTCTCCCTCTGCCTGCCACTCCCCCTTCTTGTGCCCTCTCTCTCTTTCTATCCCTGTGTCAAATAAATAAATGAAATCTTAAACCTAAAAAACCTTAAAAAAAAAAATAGTAAACCTAAAACCACAAGGTTTCCAGAAGAAAACATATGAGAAAATCTTCACAATTTGGGGTCAGGAAAGGGTTTCTTAGGGTATAAAAGGCAACAGTCATAAAAGAAACAAAATTAATTGGACTTAATAAAAATGTAAAACGTTCTGCTCATAATGAAAGCGAAAAGGTAAGGCACACATATTCACCAAACTGGACATATCCTCAATGTCCATCAATAGGAGAATGAATGAAACAATTTGTGGTACGTTTAACCAACAGAAAATTCCACAGTAATGAAATGAACAAACCACAACTACATGTAACATCATGGGAATGACCCAAACGTTATGCTGAGTGAAGGAAACAAACACAAAGAAGTTCACACCATGTAGTTCCAGTCACAGAAAGTTCAAAAGCAGGTAAAACTAATCAACAGTGACAGACATCAGAACAGTAACCACCTTTTTTGGGGGGTTAGTGACTGGGAGGGAGTGTAAAGAGATTTCTGGCAGCTGGTAATATCCTATGTTTACATCTGGGAAGCATTAAATCATTTGCTTTGAAAACATCATCAAGCTGTACACTTAAATTTGTGCCCTTTTCTTGATTAATGTTATATTAAAAATATTTTTTTGAAAAAGAATATAAAAGATTTGAAAAACACAAAAAACTCATCCTAATGGATACATACAAAATATTTCACTCAACAATTGTAGAAGACACATTCTTTTCAAGCATGCCTAGAATATTTTTAAAAAATTGACCATATTTGGGGCATCTGGGTGGCTCAGTTGGTTAAGTGACTGCCTTTGGCTCAGGTCATGATCCCGGAGTCCCGGGAATGAGTTCCCCATCAGGCTCCCAGCTCCATGGGCAGTCTGCTTCTCCCTCTGACCTTCCCTCTCATGCTCCCTCTCACTCTGTCTCTCTCTCATAAATAAATAAATAAATAAATAATCAAATAAAATCTTAAAAACATAATGACCATATTCTAGGCCAAAGATCCACAAGTAGAGCCTTATGTGGCCTGATTCCAAGCCTGGTGACTTTTCTGTATAGCTTGTAAGCTGAGAATGGTTTTTACTTTTTTAAATGGTTGATAAAAATATTTTGTGACATATAATAATTATATGAAATTCAAAATCAGCCAAAAACCAAAGTATTGCTGGAACAGAGCCATAAACCTTCACTTACATACTGTTTATACCTGTTTTCACACAGAAAAGAACTGAGTAGCTGTGACAGACACTGTGTGGGCCACAAAGCCTAAAAGGTTTACTACCTGGTTCTTCACAGAAAAAGTTTGCTAAGCCCTATTCTAGGTCATAAAGCA